ACGCTCTTCTAATAGCCAGCAGTACAGTGTGTGTCCTCAGCAGCACCCACTACGTTTCATCTCTGTCGACTAACTGGGCTAATTTCACAGTCTGCTGAGCCGAGAGAGGCAGACCTACTGTTGACTTTAAAGGCTGTGTATTTTAAATCAGTGTGCATGTGTGTTTGGAGGATGAAGAAGTAGTGGCGGGTCCCGTCATGACTGGACCGTGGTCTGCAATTAAGCAATGAATCACACAGAGTGATGGCACAACTAGTCACTGCTGCTCGGCTCTGTGGAGGACGACTTCAACTTTCACGAATGCTTGTGTAATTTATGTTTTTAAAGTGCTGCTACATGAGGTCCTCGTGTGTGTGTGTGTGTGTGTGTGTGTGTGTGTGTGTGTGTGTGTGTGCTTTCTTGCCAGCCGTTCAGTGCCATGCCTGTAGCTCAAACAGTGTGGGTGGTATTGTGATGTATTTTTCTTTGGGTCTTCCACTGCAGCTTGACTCTCACTCCTTGGAGGCCACATATTTAATAGACAGACATGAGAGTGGTATCAATTTTCTTATCTAACTCTAAGCTAGAAAATAAATAGGTTTCCCAAAATAGTTCCTTTAAAGCTGATGTATTATTTTGTCTCCTAGGATACCATTTTTTGGATGGTTTTGAGTTCACTGGTTGCTTTCTGAACTTGCTGCCATTTCATTGAAAAGTCCTGATTTCCTTTTGAAGAAATAACAGGCTTCTTACTACCCCCTCTCTTCTTAGGCTCCAATGAGAGGCTCTCCATGATGAGGAGCTAACACCATCAGCTGCACCCTTGCAGGAAGAGACGTGGCCTCCGCACCACCCACAGTCGACGCATGGCGGTATTAGGGGTAAGAACCGCGCTGAGTAGTTTAAATCGGCCAGAGCTTCAGCGTCAGTGAGGATTTCAGAACAAGTTCTAAATGATGGGTGTTAACTGTCTCAGTGTTTGATTCACCAGGCACAAGCAGCCATTGTCTGAGCAGCTCGGTGTAAGTTCACATCTCATCACCTTCCTGCAAATGTCTCCTCTACAGTAAAGCAACCAGTCAGTTGCGGTAGTATCCTTTTGTTAAACTAACGCAAATGGGAAAACAGACTGGTTGTGTTAGTTGTTTGGTCAGACAGGGCACTTAGAAGGAGTCAGTTCTAGATTAGTTTAGCGTAGACAAAAACATCCATCATCTATATACCCTTTATTCCAGAGTAGGGTCACAGGGGGCTGGAGCCAATCCCAGCTGACACTGGGCCAGAGCCGTGGTCCACCCTGGGCAGGTCGCCGGTTGACACGTAGACAAACAACCACACATGCTCACACTCACTCTGACGGGCAATTTAGAGTCACCAGTCAACTTAAGCTGCATGTCTTTGGACTGTGGGAGGAAGCCAGAGCACCCGGAGAGAACCTACATAGCCACAGGGAGAACATGTAGACTCCACACAGAAAGGCCCGGTGTCGGCCGGGGCTCAAACCTGGAACCTGGAACCTTCTTGTGTGGTGCAGCCCACAAAAATGTCCATTAAAGTTAATTCATGGTTGGCCACACAGACAGGTCACTGGTTCAGTGGTGGAGACGGGAGCC